GAATTTAGAAGATTAATCATTTGAAAATCAGTCAAAATAATTGTCCTAGGTTTATAAATATTAACTGAAATATAGTGTACATTAGTTTAGGAGCCAGGGTTTCAATACCAAATGTTACAGTATATTTACATCAATAAAACTAAATATAGTATTTTATAGGGAAAACACTATGTATGATCACATAATAAGCAATAGGTATGATCTATATGAGCTACGCTTCAGCTAGAGCCCAAAACCAATGCGAGCGATGCAGTGCATTGTTGAAAATGATAAGAAATAATATTTTATATACTAGCTTACTAAGAATTTGATGAAAATGAAGATTTACATCAGTCGGTTTTTTTAATGTATTTTTGTTAAATTAGCCTGCCTAGACATGACAGACTTTTCCCCGGGACGAACTTGAATAGTCTCGTGCCTAAACGGGACTATTCTCACCTCTTGTTCCCACCGCTGCAACTCCTGTGTAGCCAGGATCTACAGCTTGACCGCCAATAAAATCTAACCAGTGAAGGTCAAGTTTATCCCAGGGGAAAGTTAAACTGTCATTGGACCCGCAACGAAATTAATCAGAAGAACATAGGAGGAGTTCGAAGTTAAGATTCAGTCTTGTGGCTAGGAAAAATTATCTCTAGGTACCTATTTCCAAATGCCACATCTTATTCTTACCTATTCAAAGTCCCCACGGCGGTGCGGTGTTATCTTCGCCTAATGCTTCAGTATTGTCCGTATAAATTACAGTTACATTTGCCGATAGCTATCGCATAATGGTGCCTTTACATACAGTTAGTAGACCTAAAGCCAGTAAATTTTCTTAGTGAAAGAAAGAGGCAGAATTATAATGACTGTCCACTGACAGACGAAAGCATTAGCCTGTAGTTTTGATATTTGGATTTTGAATTTAAGAAACTCTACTTCGTCATAATCAACATCATTTGAGCTACAGAACGAGTTTTTAATGAAAGATTGGCCAGTTGGTAGCGGCCTGCATACAGAGCCTAATACCACGGTAATACTAGGTGAACTTATTTCAAACTATTTTTGAAGCTATATCAACTGCTCTGTATTATCTAAGTAGGCATATTTAAATGACTAAGTATGATATTGAATAAAAAAACCCACTGTCATTAAATTTCGCAGATAATGAAAGTCCAGATCGTTGGTCCACCTAGTATGAGGCCTGCCCACGCTACGTCTTCCAGCCCGTGGTCGCCACTCGAGAACTTTCCTGCCCCTGTGGAAAACCTTGGGGGAGGCCTTTGTCCAGCAGTGGACGTCATTTGGCTGAAACGTACGAACGAATGAAAGTCCCCGGACAGGCCAATACAAAGATTTTATTCGTCGGACGTCCATATTTATGTACATAATTTATCTTTGAGTAACTTCTAAAAATAAAATAGATCAGATTTCAAATAATAATATTACATTTTTGGAAATCGCATCATGAATGACTCAACATTATACGTTTATATGTTTACTTACGTTATCTATCAATACGTAAATTAATGGTAGTCAATAAAATTTCTAGGTATAATCGTTCCATCTATTGCCATTTAGCGATATAATTTTATGTAAGGTAGGTAGGTAGGATGCTTTTATCTAAGCATTATATCGATTTATCGACATTTGTTGAATACAATTCTTACTAAAATCGATATAATGCCATAATAAGTATTACGCAGATTATCTACTTAAATCCATAAATGATTACTTAATTATGAATTAGTTTGTTTTTCATTAACTCCGGGTTCGATTTAATAATATAAAGTAGGTACAAATCCCAGTTTCCCGTTCCCGTTTAACGTAATCTTTCCTCTTTTAATACAAATAGATAGTACAATTAATGTAGTGTTTTTCCGTATCGCAATTGAAAATGATCAACCAACCAGGAGAGTGACCATTTTATTATATTTCGTGGTATTATTAAAGTCCAAGTTTCCGAAGTAATTTGCCAGTAGGACGTACCACCGTTCCCACTCATCCGATTTTCATACTGAGACCTCTCAAAACTTAGGTATTTCAGACAAGGATAATCTGCTGACCGATCAGGCGAAAATGAGCTTACAGTTGCTGAAATAAGGACTAGCCTGAAAAATTTAGCTGGTCAACTTATCGTGGTATTTCACCGTGGGTTCTCACTTTCGAGAAGTTTGCTGGAACCTTCTAGAAGTTTAATGACTAATTACTCCCCCCTTACCCGCGGCCGAATGAAACTCGATCGGGGATTAAAATTATGGACGCCATTTTGGAACTGCCGTCAAACTACTGCGCTTTGAGGTTAAGGTTTTTTTGGTGGGAAAAGTTTGGAAAAGTTTTACCTACCTACAACACGTGGAAAGTTCATAATTTATATTTTAATTTCCAGAAAAAATATTAAATAATTCAAATTCTGTTTTGGCAGGCATATAAATGAATAAATAATTGTAACTCTAAAATAAAAAAATATTTTCGAATTCTTTTGAGTTTACTTTTTTTTAAAGCTTAGTCAAATTTTTGTCTATACTTTTTAAATAACAACTAAAGTATTTTGGGTTTTAAATCTTAGGATTGATACACAATTTATTAAAAACTGAGCGAATTATTAAATGATGCAATTTACGAGTAAGTAATGCGTCTCCAAAGCAGATCGTTGTAATCTAACAAGGTAGGTATTGTTTTTAAAATCAATCATAACAAAATAACTCCTGCGTCAATTCAACCATTATTGCCGTGATAGCAATCTTGGATGGAACTTCTTGTTTGATTTGGTAGATTTTATTGACGTCCGTGCCTATACTACATCAAAAAATATGAAATAGGTGTTCGAGTGATATTTATTTGACTATTCCTACTAGTTCCAAACGATATGATAATAATCATTCTTATCTGTAGTGGATGGTTTGAACAATCAATCAGAAGCTTCTTGATTTTTTGTAGTTAAGAAAAAATATCACAAAATGTAATTAGATAGTTTCAGTTAACTTCCCTTCTCCCCTGAATAATATAAACAGAACAAAAATCTGAGGTTGAATTTGAACTTATTTTTATTTGCTTCATCCTCTACTATTTATCTACTATCTGAAGTAGCAGAGAATCAAGCAAAAACTTCAGCGCATCTTATATTGTTGACGAAATCCTACATTTGCGTCTGATAAATTAGAGAGGGCTTTTTTATGTATCAGGAGGCAAACGAGCAGACGGATCACCTGATGGTAAGTGATTACCGTCGCCCATAGACCCAGGGGCGTTACAGGTGCGTTGCCGGCTTTAATGGTGAAGATACGCTCTCTTCTTAAAAGCTTGCAGGTCGTATCCGTCCGGAAACACCGCAGACGACAGAGTCCATTCCACAGTTTGGTTGTACGGGGCAGGAAGTTTAAGTGGAGACTAAATGACGTTGATAATCTTAATTTGTTGTAATAGTTCTAATTTTGCTAAAGAAAGTTACGAGTTCGATGTGCTGTCACTGTACCTAATACCATACAACAGGATTACATAAGACGTGTCCGTGTTTGCTGTAGGGCGGGCGGCGTAACAAATGGGCGCGTGACAGGCGACCTGCCCGCCCGTCGGCGGCTAATCTTGGCGCATCCATCGCGGTTGTCTTGGCCTCGACAGGGCTGGACTCGCGGTTGTCTTGGCCTCGACAGGGCTGCACTGGGATTCATGAAGTAATAGAATAGAGCAACTAAATTAAAGCGACAAAACTCAATGGTGTCGGTATCAGACCCGGCCGAATCGAAATCTGAGGAACGTGAGTTCGAACCCCTCCACTGGACTATTGTGGTGAATCACTGGTAACACCATCATATTTAGTTTACGCGTATTTTGTCGGTACTAATATTCTTAAAACATCAAAAGATTATACGGTTCGACCTTGCTAATTGTTAATAAAATTATTTTCAAACAGTAATTATTTCGTAAAGGAGTAACAAACATCCATTGTTACAAACTTTAGTGTTTTTAATATTGGTATAAATTAATCACTTCCAATTCTTTTTTGAGTCCGGCCCTGTGTATATCTTAATCCGCGTGTCAGTTGGCCGGCCCAGGCCATGACAAGTCTTAGCCAAGTTAAAGTGGTCTTAAATTAATAAGTACGTGTCACGTTTCACATACTTACGTATGCCTCCTAGATTCTGATGACATGTTAAATGTTGGTTTAATCTGGTCTAGTCAGTCAGTAGATTATACCTAACAGTCACAGTTACGACATAAATGCAAAGTAAAGCTGAGTCGCACCATCTTACTTTAACAAACATAAAAAATTGTCAACCTCCATACAAAAAGCACCGGTTATCGTTAAAGGTACTGTTAAAATTAGGTGGTGCAACTCAGCCTGTTTGTCTGTTACGCTATTATCCACTATATTGAAGTTTAGTTTAGGTGAAGAGATGCGAGATAGTTTTTATCCCGGTTTTTGAAACAGGGACGCGCTGGATGTTTTTGTGTGATAGACAAAATTTCACGCGGGTGAAGCCGCGGGCGCGGGGAAAAGCTACTATTAAATGAATAAAAAATTAAGTTTTCTTACTAAGTAAGTCTCCTTAAGTTAAAAGTTAATGACAAACAAACGCTTTTACATAAAGACTACGGCATTCTTTCAAGAAAACAATCATTATTCTTACGACAGTTACGTAAAACACTCCTTTATTGCAGACTACTTTGTGATAATATTGTTTAAAAAAAAAAAAAACTACATTTAAATGAGATAGTTATGTTAATTAGCTACCTTGAATAAAATAGAATTATCTTTGCTTAATTTATTTCGGACTGTCCTGAATTTGTTTGAATAGGTAACTTTAATTTGATGAACTCAATCAGCAAGGCAGTAGTCACTCCTCTAATTGATTATTTATTAATAAGTACTTATTAACAACAAATATTCGTTTAGGATATACTATTCTAAAACTATCACGTAGTATCTTAAAATAAGAAGACTTGCAAAAAAATAATGGAAGTCAATCAATATATTTTAATCAAATATTATTCTCAGGTAATGAAATGAACACTGTACTAACCTGCACTCGCTCCCACAGCATAACACCCGATTTATAACGAAAATCACTTCACCAACTAACACTTAACACGTCCGTACACGGCGGAGGTTCGACAGAGACTGACTGTCCGGTACTTGGATTGTATTAATGTGACTAAAATGATTGAACGGAGGGATTAATGAACTGAGTGGTCGCAATCAATTGATCGACTTATTAAAATCTAAGCTGCAGGTAAGTCAAATAAAATGTAGTTAAAAATGATTTTAAAAAATCCATTCTAAAACTGGAGTAAAATGTCAAACATAATTGCGTTTATTTATGCAGATGACAATTTCCACTATTTTAGTGGGCTTGTGCGTACGGGTGACTTTTTTCGCCATAACTGTTTGGAGGTACTGGAGGTGACAAAAAAGTCACTGTGACAAAAGTCAACGTGCGCGCGAGTCCTAAACGGCACTTTGGCGCGATGGACAGAAGGGCTTTTACAAGCAATTAGCACCAGAGTATGGTTCTTTGTGACTTTAATTGGACATGGGCTCACGATTGAACAGCAACATCCTATCCAAAGTGCACTCACTTTGGATTACGTAGTATTGCATAGCACCAATAAGGTCACAGCACACTTATCAACCCCGCGCCTTTCGCCGCGAAGCGGATAGGTGTGCGTTGCAGTATGGAGTTTCATACGAAGAATAAGTACTGACCGCCTCGAGTTGATACGGTTACGATCCGTTTCCGGGTTGATAAGTGTGCTTCGTCCTTTACTAGAGTCGGTGGATGCTGGACACTTTGCTCGACGGACAAAGCTAGCGTTTGCGAATTTGATTCCTGCTAGTTAGGTAAAGTTTTATATTCTACCTAGTTGATGTATTTTCTGTTTCAGTCAAGGACGTTTTTGTTGTATGTTTAACGTTATCGTCTAGTTTAGTGCAGGTTTTGCTCGGTTTAGAGCTAGGCGTGACAGTTGAAACAATAAACTAGCTCATTATAAGTGAAGCACATAAAATCATTTACCATCGGATCAGCCCATTTAGGCCATGACGGACAATGGCAGAATCTTGCTTAGTAACACGTAGTGACGTAACACACAAATAAAGATTAAGGATAAAAGAATTCTGGAAAAAACATGTCAAGATCGGACCTCCCGCGTTCCTATTTGCCTGGACAGAGTGGTTAGAATTAAATGTTTGTTTACCAACTTACTATCAAGCATAAACTACTATCTATAAGTAGATACGACTGCTTATCGGCTCCATCGATTATTTGGTATTGAAAAGGCGCGGATAGGCGGCACATCTCGTTTTCGCGAGTGCGGGTTGGAAGATGGCACCAGAACCAGAGTTGCCGTATGAAATCGTCAACGTGAGTGCTGATGAAGAGAAAATCATTAGGAAGTGCTTGACAGGTGCGTTGTGAAGTGATGTGTAGTGATTGGAAAAATAGTATTTTTTCATTTGTTTATGTTTATTTTGTTGGTGAGTCAACGGCTTAAGGTGAGTCATAAATGAGATTTAAAATAACAAGTGGATGGGTAGATAGGTAGGTACTAATTTGCATGTAATTGGTCATACTTATGTAGTTAATAATTTCCTCATTATTGAATTTTATAAAAACATGTTTTCAAGTCTCTATCATTTAATAAATTTTTGAGGAATTTTAATATTGGTTTTGACCTGAGAGAAGTATAGTTAAAGAAACAAGCTGCGTTGATATATTTTTCAGACCCACGGTAAGAAGGGAAATGATAGGGCACGTGAAAATGGGTTTTCACATTTTTCTGTATAGTTAACCACTTAAGGCTTTTATGGACTGGTTAGGTATTTGGCTACTCGTGTGACTAAGTAGGTAGAGTATAAATTTCCCACCACTATCACAGTCGGCACGACTGGTCGGTCTACTTATATAGATACTGCAGCCACTTCAGTGGAGTACACCAGTAATGGTTATCAAGAGCTTTTGACATGTGATTCTGTAACATTACAAGCACCCTTTACTTAACCATTCAATTGGTTTCAAAGTTTCAAATACTTCATAAATGTCACAGGCTGGGTTTTGATAATACGGTGTAAGATCCTGACTAGAAACGACTCAAATTCAAATTGTTAATTGGTACTTAGGGGATTTTCTGGTCACTTTATCAGCTTCAAATATAGTTTGCTCTAATATACTTATACCGGCTATCGTTATAGTTACGGTTAAAGTTAGGTGGCGCAACTCAGCCTTAGTATATCTAAGTATATTTCCATAGACCTTTCATAGTTCTTGTTGACATCTTACTGTACACAGAACACAGACATATCTATCAGATCAGGTTTTCAGACTGTACCTGTTGCTAGCCATAATAGTAGACGAATAAATGGAATATGAAAACAATATCGTAAAGATAAAATGAGATAAGAAATTTCAGCCTTGGGATCTATTAGTACTACTACAACTATCACGATGTACATAGTTACCTAGATATATAAAACTTTGAAAGTACGAAACTGGTAGTAACAAAGACCATCGTACTTACTTTACTATTACAGGACTATTCCCACCTCTCTTCCTCCAACTCCTGTGTAGCCAGGATCTACAGCTTGAGCGCCAATAAAAACCCAACCAATAAAGGTAAAGTTTGTCCCGAGGGAAAGTTAAACTGTCATTGGATCCGCAACGAAATTCATCAGAAGAACATAGGATGAGTTCGAAGTTAAGGTTCGACTTAAGCGGATGACAGGAGACATATTAAAAGTTACTTAAAGTAAAACTTAAGTTTCGGAATACCTGTACAAGTTCTGTTTCAACCTTTCAAATCCCCCTTTTTACAAAATTCAAAACCAATTTAGATGGAACGAACGACACGTGGATGGAGATACTTTCAATTTATTATTATGACAATAATAATATAATCATCATAATCATTTGGCAATATTCATGATAAGACAGTCGATACAATAAAAAGATGAACCGCAAAATATGCTTTGTAATCGATTAATTTAGGTATTATCTATCAATTCACTATTTATCTTTTTATATCAGTACTTTAAATTTCTTTCTAGAAGCCATATTATGTAGGGGAGACGGAGGAGTGTTGTGATATTGTCGAATTTTGGCAACCTATTAACTATATCACCGAGCTTGCAACAGCGCGTATTTGTTAGCTCGAGATTTGACCGCGCACTGTCGAGCTCGCTGGAAGTTAATAAGTTCCAAAAAATCGACAATGTCACAAGTCTCCTCTACCCTCGGTCTCCCCATAAGCCGCTTAGCAATAACACCGTTTTTATTAAAACGTAGTTTCACCTCTTTTCCATCAATAAAATATTGGTCGTGAGCTTGTGTTGCAAACAACAATATTAGGAAAAAAAATAGGATGGTTTGTTTTACCTACTATAAAATACCCAGGTTTGCAAGTTATTTCTTTGTAGCTACATATTTTAAAGAAACATTTTTCACTGTTTTATAAAGGCTTTTTTTGTGCCTTTGGCACTTTTAAAATTTTGATGATATAGTAATAATATGTACTCGCAATTTGTTGAACTTAGACGGATAAACTTCTGAGCTCAAAGTGCGTTTGATTGCAATCTGCTAAAGGATACAGTTCCTACAAAATCAATCAGCTGCTACCATAGGGCAATGATTTTTTACATGCTGTATATCTTAGAGTTTGTTACGGCACTTCTTCTCAGCACTTGCCAAATGTTGGTCTCGAAGCGTTGGTAGGACAAAAAGATTATGAGACATGTAGGTAGAGGCTCCTTAAGAGCAGAATATTTGACGATTTGTAAGTACTATTTAATAGTCTATCTATCTATACAAATAGATATTTTTTTTATCCACATCGAGGAAGCTCTTGGCCTGTATCTCACCTGATGGTAAGTGACGATCGGGCCGAAGGTAGAAGCGAGCTTCGTCCGGAATCCTCAACCACGGAGGAACTGGCTATCTTACCTCTAACTACCTTTTGACATTGACTTGGCTTCCAGGGTACACGAAACCTTTCGTGCGATGCGGGAAGCAGGGCTACGTGATGCCTGGTGCCTTCAGGAAGCACGCGGAGGCGATTTACAACATGCAGGTGCGCCCTGATGACGTGTGGGTCATCACGTTTCCACGATCAGGTAAATAGTTCAAGTTCTTCATCATCGTGATCATTTAAGTCACAGGTCCACTGGTGAACATAGGCATCCAATGATTTCCAGATTGGCCAGTTGGTAGCGTAGCTGCCTGCATTCAGTGCCTTCTTGCCTAGGGCCTTGCCACACTGGTGGAATAGAAGCGTTTTCAAAGCGGAGCCGCGACGCAGCGAACACGCGACAAAACAGAGGCGAAAACTGGAGTATCCGTGAATTGGCAAGGCCCTTAATCCTGCTGATTAAGTTCACTGGTTGGGGTTTTTATTGGCGGTCAAGCTGTAAGCACTGTTTACTTTTACAGTTAAAATCCAAACAGTTATAACTCTTACTTACAAAATAAAAATATTCCTCATTTTTAGCTTTGGGAATTACTTACATATCTATAGTTCGATATAAAATACAGCTGTATAATTGATTACCTAATAAACCCTACCCGATGATCGGCAATGACTCGAAGGTGGCGTGTAGGTACTTTTAGTGCATTATTATTACGTATGACTGCACAGTCATAAAAGTACGTGCATGATGTTAAAGATAAAATGTAACTGAAACAATATTGCGGAATGTTTGAAATGATAAATACGAGTATACATGAATATGCATTACATTGCAAAATACTAATCTTTATTTCATACTAGCTTTCCGCCCGCGGCTTCGCCCTCGTGGAATTTTGTCTGTCACAGAAAAACAATATCGCGCGCGTATTTGCTCACCGTTTAGACCTACCCTGGACTACGACAAACATTTTAAAACCAAAATCAGCTCAATCGGCCCAGCCGTTCTTGAGTTTTAATCAGACTAACGAACATCAATTCATTTTTATATAAATAGATAGATTGTAGCTGTCAAATCCCATCAATGCACTTCATGATAAGACAACATAGTCTCAAGAGGCTCGAGTTACATTTATTTGGATGTGATATAACAGATTTTTTATATTTTTATTTATTTATCTCTATTACTCGCGGTTTTGCTCTGATGTTTAAAATTATTACTTGAGTCTGCTTTTGAATATTGTCACTCTCATCTGACGGCCTAGAATTAGGAATATCCATTTTTTATGCATAACAAGGCAGTTATTTGACCACAATCGCACCTGATGTTAAGTGGGATGCAGTCTAGGATGGTACATATCTGCCCTGTAAGTGCCTATTCACTCTCGCCTTGAAACCTTTAAAATGGCCGGATTATAGTCTTCGGGAAAGACAGCAGCAGGCAGCGAATTCCAGTCCCTAGCTGTTTGCATTATAAAATGGCAGTTTTGATTTCGTGATCACTTCGCGAAGTTGGTAAATCTTTCAAAAAGTATTTCGGAATGACAACTGTCACATTCATAGGTTTGTAGAGTAAAATGCCTCTGTAAAAGCGCCTTTTAAAAGCTTATTTGTAGAGAAAATAATATAAATATGAAGATGAAACATGTTTTCACAGTAAATAAACTATTCACTCGTAATATACTAAATGCTAGTGTACAGCAGTAGACCCTGTAGTTGAAATGATGATGATTATGAGTTGCCACTTGCCAGTTTCACTGGTGCATAAAGTTTTGATAACAATAAACTTGAATGTATCTGAAAGATAAATCTTGATACTGATGCTCATTAACCTTAACCCAGGTTATGGTTTAGCCCGAAATTGCTACAAAAGCTTATCTTCTCGCTTTTTTAGTAGAGGTTTTTTATGACGTAGTGGAAAACTCGAGGAAAATGTATAGAAAATATTTCCTTGTACTTTGTATAGTCGTCAAAACATCAGACTATACTTTTTTGTTGCAAAATAACAACTGTTACAACTTCCTGTAGTTGTAAGACTATCAGTACACAAAGTATCAATATGTATACAGATTAAAGTTCTACCTTGATGTCTAATAGGTATCTTACACAATAGTCTCATTTTTTACATATTTTTACTATTTTATCATTGAATACTTGAGATATCTTTACGCAAGTAATACAATAGTCAGTTTAATCTAATCATTTAGATCCGGATAGGTACTTGATGATGAATTGCATTTTCCAAAATTGTAAAACGGATCAATTAAGTAAGTACAAAATACGTTGGTGCACGCGTACTAATAATGATCTTGCATTTATTTTTGTAGAACAACGTTATAAATAGGGTAACATCAGATAACGAAAGTCATCTGTTTATTACGCAAAGGAAACTGAATCTTAAGCTTTTCCTCAAATTAAAATTACTAAAGCCTGGTCCGTGAGCACGTAGAATTTTGTCCAATGACCCCCAAGCTACCCATCCTTATCGCTCGCGCGTAATTGGGTCATTCCACCGGCCAAGAAAATCACGTGTCCGGGGCCAAAAAGTACCCGAATATCATAATATTTTAGTAACAAATATTTTTATCTAATAGTATAACTTTGGTTCTTGTTGTTAAACCACAGAGATAGTTAATAATAGTTAATTAAGTAATTTAAAAAAAATCGTAAGTCGTCAAAAATTGATTACCACGACGTGTCCGCGCTCCCGATTTCAGAACAAATTTGCTCGTATAACTTAATCCGTTATTATTACGGCTTTCAATGCTTATGTAATCGATNATTATATTGCTGTCGCGACCGTGCGACGGGCGCCCGCAGTGAGTGTGCGTGCGAGTGCGAGTGTCAGACCAGAAGTTTAAATACGCTCCAGTAAAGGTCGCGGGAAGCACCTGGATGCGAGTAGCGCAACACCAGTCGTTGTGGAGATTCTTGGGGTCTTTGTCCAGCAGTGGACGTCATTTAGCTGAAACGAACGAACGAAAACATTCAGGCATCTCCAGTAACAGAACCTACAAGTGACATATTACGTGGGTATTTCCACATAAATACTAGCTATACAGAAATAGCGTTTAGACAGCTCATTAAAAATGTAAAACTTGTAAAACTGAAGTTCAAACATTGGGCGATTTTATCAAATCCTATCATAGAAGGAATTAAGATATCGTGTTTGATTAGTAACGATACACTTATAGATACAGATAAAAATAATAATAAATGTCCATTTTCTTTCATCTACCGACTATTGATAGCTTATCTTGCAGAATATTTTTGAACCAAATAAACAATTTTTCTTTCTTCTTCTTTCTTTATGTGTTTTCACGCATTGTTCTGGAACTTTCGGCTCAATACTTCGTGTAACTTCAACAGCTTTTACATTAGTTATTTCTTAAATACCCAATTTTAAACTAACACGGTGTCATCAATTTCAAAACTAAACAAATTAATGTCTTCACCTCGCTGTCGCTGCATTTTCTGTGCAACCAGGATCTACAGTTGGTCCACCAATAAAAAGCGACAAAAGCTTACAATATGGGTACTAGGCAACTATTATGAGAGTTGTATAAATATTTTTCTTTCAAATAGCGACAAGTTATGAGTGTTTTATTGTCGTGCCTAAAGTGAAAACAACACGCATATAAAAACTTCTTAAAAATTGCTATATTAACCAAATTAGCATCTCAAATAATATTAGTCTAGATTTTAACTCCTTCATCTCTTCCGAGAAAAGATTATGAGAATTATCTGAGCCCCCGCAGTCCGTATTAATTATTATAAACGCTATAATTTGGTAAATCGCAGAGCTTAGGATCAAAGGCTTGGAATCAGGGATTATTCGGAGTTAAATGTTCGTGAATGGAGTGTTTATTTGCATCGCGGGGTGAGTGATGGCTCGTCAGGTACGGTAATTTGTACAGGTGTTTCAGTTAATAAAGTAATTATAGCAAAAATAGTTCCCTTTTGTATAATAAAAGCATATTTTCATTGGATGAGTTCTATTCAACCACTACAAGTATTTAGTTAACATTTAAAATGGTGCTTAAAATGTCTGTTATAGGTACAAGGTTGGGTTGCCAATCCATCGTACTTTAACAAATGTCAAAACTACCAAACTCCATACAAAATACCGGTTATAGATTACCATAATAAAATAAGGTGGTGCAACTCAGCCTAACAGTAGACCATCGGTTTCAACGTCAGACTGAAGACTCCTAGAGGTATCTACTTAGTTCGATTCCCATCGACCGCTGAACTGTTATGGTATCTATCTAACACTCTATCTCACTACAAATGATATATCTTATCTACAGGGGTTAACGTGAATATTTGTAATTTGACGATATTTATAAAACTAATTAATATAAAATAATATTTTTCAGGTACAACATGGACACAAGAGCTTATATGGCTGGTGGAAAATGAGTTGGACTTCAAAACTGCAAAAGAGAAACCACTCTATGAGAGGTTTCCCATGCTAGAGTAAGATTATTATGTTTATTTTTGTATTTTAATAAGTATCTACCTCATATTAATAATCTATACTAATATTATAAATGCAAAAGTAACTCTGTCTGTCTGTCTGTCTGTCTGTCTGTCTCTCTTTCACGCCAAAACCACTGAAATGATGTTGATGAAATTTGGCATAGAGATCCCGGGAAAGGACATAAGATAGTTTTTGAAACATGAACGCGCGTGATAAAGTTTTTCTGTGAAAGACAAAATTTGACGCGGGCGAAGCCGCGGGCGGAAAGCTAGTATGAGATATGGCTTCATATTGTAATATTTATTAATACTATTTTCCGCTCCCGTTTTCTCCTACTTGGATTTCTATGTCACTCTAAAAGGGTAAAAAATGTTTCCATATCATTAACATGCGAAACGGAGTACCTATAAATAGGTAATGTGTTCCGATTAGTACATACTTTTACATTATTATTTTTTTGCGATAAAAGGCCTATAATGATCCTTCTCCCAAGTCTCATATAACATTATCTTTTAAATATCTTTTGGTTTAGCAGTTTAAATAGGAAAGTTACGGACACACAAAACGTCAGAATAATTTTAACATTTACAATTCATATGAGGAAGATCACATAATATGTCGGTCACATTGCCAAGCAATATCTGTACACGTGTATGGTTTTAATAATGTGACGTTATGTGTCCTAAATAGTTTATGGAAAATCTCATGGCCCTGAAAACGGTCACATTCTTGACAGCAATATCAATTGTGATGAAAGTTATGTAGAACAAGCATTCGGGCCATATCAATAGCCATAAATGTGCTATCAGAAGTCAGACATAGTGAGATTAGATTTATCATTTAATTTTGATAACTGATAACTAATATAGTTAGCTTCTAACGAACATTTTATAGGCGCTACATTCCAAAGAGAAATAAACAATTTATTAATTTTAATAAAATATTCTTTAATTGTCTATGGGCGACGATAATCACTTACCATCAGGTGATCCGTCTGCTCGTTTGCCTGTCACATATAAATAAAATAAAAAAGGAAAACAAAAACCGCACGTTTAAAATAACTACGAGTCAGTTTATCTCGTAATTTTTTTTTAGCTATGCCGATTTTAGGTTACATTTGCCAAGTTTTATCAGCATTTATGTCTATGAGATGTAAATAAATAAATTAATATCCTTAGTTTAAAATGTCCAGTTTACATTAGAAAGAATCTGATTCTGTTCTGTTCTAATTCTCATCTGGGTACAATTTCCACTAACGTGTATGACAAAACAATTTTATTTGTGACAGTTTTTAGTTTATTTTAGGCTTATTGAGCTGATTGTGCGATAAGATTGATGGATTACTGCGATTAAATATTGTTTTATACCTTACATGTTAAAACTTCTATTTATTAATTTTGTTGTCAATTCCAAGATAAGCAAAAGTTTGAAAGCCTTTAGTTCCGGCACGTTCTTCTCAATACTTGCCACAAATGTCATGTATTGGTAGAGCCCAAAGATAAGGAGATAATGAAAGAACCTCTTTAAGACTATCTTTTTAATGAATTCTTGAGACATTAAAAACTCCAGCGAGTTGAAAACTCGACTCGCGCGTGTCTTGTGGACGCAATGTATACGTGCGTAGGATTCGCGACGAATTCGCCCTCCTGGACAAGGCCTATAATTTCTAAATCTTGGTCAAAAGTAAATAAAGACATTTCTTTTGCAGAACCACATCCCAAATACCGGAGATAGCCTTCGACCTGATCAAGGCGAACTTCATGAATCTCAAGCACTTCCAAGGTCTAAACGACGCAGTCAGGTGCCCTAGCCACCAGCTGATCGACCAGGCTCCCTCTCCCCGGTTCATCAAGACTCACCTCCCCCTATCCCTCCTCCCCCCCTCTTTGCTGAGCACAGCTAAAGTGGTATACGTAGGGAGGGATCCGAGAGATGTGGCGGTGTCGTACTACTATTTACACAAAATGGTCGCGAAGAACATGATGCGGTGTAACTTCATGCATTTTTGGGAGGCGTTCAGAAGAGATCTGTGTAGGTAACATTTTTTATTTGTTACTTTGATAATTTGACACTCATACATAAACGATTATTTTAATTTAATTACTACACATTTAGGTACTAATGATAATGTGGGCAATATTTATTAGGTACCTACATGTTGTAAAAAAGGACAAGAAGACACAAAATGTTGGTTAATTTGAAACCAAACACAAGGTTAAATTATTTAAATTGCGCCCGCATTATATTGGAGGCCTGTGTTTTGTTTCACTAGGCATTTTGATCTTTGTTATAAATAAAGAATATAAAACAATATTAAAACAGTGAAAAAATCGAACTTATTGATCAGAAAAGATAGTCAAATCGCGATAGCAATCGTCTCATAAATTATTATAATAAGTCGATGAAGCATAATATGATTTAGTGCCCTGCTTGCCCAAACAACTGCACGCGATTTAATTACTGCCACTGACAACGCCACTCTTGTAACAGAGTTTTGAGCTGACACTGTGTAGGTTTGTTGACAAGAAGAACGTAATAACATTATTTTGTATGAAATTCGTTACAGTGCCGTGGACACCAATAGTAGCACACACGAACGAGGCGTGGAAGCAACGTCATCATCCGAATCTTCATCTAGTTTTCTACGAAGAACTAATTAAGGTGGGAATTCTTTATTTAAGTACGAAATGATTAGCTATCTTAGAACTAGGAAATCGAATTGCCTAAGGTGGGACGAACCCACGACATTTCGCTTGACGGGCTCTCACCTGAGCTACTTGACATTGGGAAGACCCGTTGAAATTTACATATACGCTGTTATAGCCATCGTTTGTTTCATCAATGTTGAGTCAAATGCTTGTAACAATATTTCTGTTGGAACCAACTTTTTTTAATTGAGGGTTTCTCGACCCTTATTGCTGCTTATCGAAACTCAAGACCGAACGCGATGGAGGACTGTTGTGGACGCCCTCCTCCCCATCTAGGGGACATAGGACCTTAAGTCAAGTAATTCTTATTGTTGCTTGTGGTAAACCCTCCTAACATATTACATTTTGCTTTTAGTTGGAGGAATTAGTGGACATATTAGTACCTATACCACCAATTACTAGTATTTTTAAGAAAGTGTAGTGGTAGATTCACCCCTCTTTTTCCATTAGGCTACAAAGCTTTCCTATTCTTCCTAAAGGATCTCCCGAAGGAAGTCCGCCGCATCTGCAAGTTCCTCAGACGGGAGTACTCTGACGCTGAGATCCAGAACCTGGCCAACCACCTCAGCTTCGACAGCCTCAGAAAGAACAAGACTGTCAACAACACAGTCGCTGACAATGGCGTGCAGTTCGTGAGGAAAGGTTGGTATTCCATGAATAACTAACTTGACATTTTTGATTTTGTGTAGCAATTCAGAGTTATGAAACCTCTTTATTGAAAAACGATAAGTTACATTAGGTAATTATAATCACCAAAAAAAGAAACATATTTGTCGTCAAAGGATGCCTTCGAAAATGGCACCTTCAAAAACTTCGTCAGGACTTCAGACTATAACTTTAGAATATAGAAACTTCTTGTTGCAACATTTTACTTTTCAACTTTTAATATTCTATCATCTGTAATTCTATCATCTGTAAAATGAGTTACAAAACTACACTCACATGACTCGGGAACACTTGTTCACAGGTGAGGCTGGAGGATGGAGGGAACACTTCGATGACAAAATGGAGCTGCAAGCTGAAGAGTTCCTGGAGGAGCGTCTGCGGGGACTGGACCTCCGGTACCCCTCAATACCTATGGAGGAAATAACGCATTTATAGTCCATGCTAGTCTTTTAGTATTAAGTAAGTTATAAGCTTTGTTTCAAGCTAAAATACTCTTATGTAAAGCGAGAAGTAGGGCTCTTTCAATTTAATAAATGTTTTCAGCTCAGTCGTGCGTTTGCAAGATCGCAAACTTTGTTGGTAATTGTTATTTTTATTCTAACGCAGTTTATATTATTATTATTATTATAACTTAACATGTCTAATTTGAAAGAGCCCCTACGGGCTCAACATCGCTAATATTATGGCTAATATTAGCCAATAACAACCAATTGCTGGACATATGCCCCCATATGAAGCGCCACGCTTTTTGTTTAGATCCAGCCACGAAAGTCAATCGCTCGTCTTTAAGCTACTTTTCAGATAAATAACTAAATAAAAATAATCTACCTCAGTCCAATATAGGACAAAATAATCTTCTATACTTATAATAAATCTGTAGAGAGGTCAATTCTGTACATTAAATATATTTTCAAAATAACTATCAGGGGGTGATTAGTGATCGATACTGATGCCAAAAATGCAATCAGTAAAATTTTTGTCTGTCTGTCTGTCTGTCTGTCTGTATGTTCTTTATAGAAACAAAAACTACTCGACGGATTTTAACGAAACTTGGTACAATTATTCTTCATACTCCTAGGCAGGTTATAGGATACTTAGGAATTCCCATGGAAATGGGAATTAGCGGGAAAATCGTTTTGTTTGAAAAATCTGAACCGCTTAAGTTAGACGCTTGAAATTCGGCATGCAGGTACCTTAGTAAACTTAAAGCTTAGTTACAACAGGATATTGCAAAATTCCCACGGGAACGGGAGTTAGCGGGAAAAACATTTGTATGAAAAATCTAAACCGCTTAAGTTAGACGCTTGAAATTTGGCATGCAGGTACCTTAGTAAGCAGGTACTTTTATTGAGAAATAAAGAATCTTTAAACCTTAGTAAACTTGAAACTTAGTTACAACAGGATATTGCAAAATTCCCACGGGAACGGGAGTTAGCGGAAAAAAACATTTGTATGAAAAAATCTAAACCGCGTAAGATAGATGAAGGGGGTAAAACAGGATCCACGCGTACGAAGTCGCGGGCGGCCGCTAGTAATAAAATAAAATTATAATGTATTTTTATTTTTTTGATAATAATTACATTGTAAAAAGAAAAAATTAAAAATAAGAAAGTAAGATGAATAAAGAAATAAATAGGATCCTAACAAGAAAATTAATTGCTGCCCATTTTGGATAATCCTTGTGGATGTTTTTACTTTTTGTTAGTTCCTTTTCTTATGTTTGTGTAATTTATTAATCCAGTAAGTTATTTTTTAATATTATAATACTACTTTGACTTCCTATGTATATTTATTTCATTTCATTTCATTTCATTAGATATTGTTAATATTATTTTATAAGATTATTTGTAAGTAGATAGTCGCTAATAGCAAAAGTAAGTTCCTATTTGTTGTATAGATAGAGCAACTTTTAATATATTAATTTTTATTAGGAATAAGTTTTGTTTTCTTGCATATTTACCTATCTTTAAAACATAATTGTTAAATCTGCCTCGTTGACTTTAATATTGCACACAATAAATGATTATACATCAGTTATACTTTTAAGTTTATACTACCTAAGAGACGGTGAATGTAAATAGAAATACAAGATATATTTCAGTTAGTCATACAATAATAGAGTCTAGAAAACCTAGTACAAAGTTCGCCTGGTGGAAGATTTCTGACTTTGAGTCTTTTAGTACTTTTGGTGATGACACACAAATGCAAAGTTCAGCTTATACCTCGCGTACTGTATAATACATAACTCTGACCATCTAAGATTTTAAACTTTCGCGTTCCATTTCAATTAAAATAGTAACTGACCATCTAACTTTGAAGAGTGTCTAAACAACATGCTGTAGAGCGATAAAGTATTAAAAACCCTAAGCATTATGTACCTACGAGTATGTCCTTATTTTCTATGCTCTCTCATCACACCGCTACGTTAGTACGTTATTGTGCTGTTATTACCAAACTGCCAAATCGCTTGTGTAGGCATTTCAGTATTCCACGATACCGGGGAACTTCCGGGATCATATTAAACTAGTTTGGAGTTGAGCTCCAGTCATGTTAAGGCGCTTAGCGCGAAAGTGCTGCCACCACGTTCCATTGTTATGCCGTTAATATTACAACGGTGGAGGCAAAAATCTGCAGCCACCAGATGTCGCTACCTTGGCCCGGACTATGTTTTTAGTCGGAACGGGTCAGGAGGCAAAAGTCATAAAAAATATAGCTTAGTTTTCCGAGAACAAGGATATTTCAAGTGTCAAGTCACATCGAAAAGCTCCTAAAGAGATTATCATAATTTGCATTTAATACTGTTTTTGGAAGCTTGTGATAGTTTTCTCTATATTTTATAGTTTCAACTAGCGGCCCGCCACGGCTTCGCACGGTTGCAATGGGATATCCCGGCTTTTCTCTTCTATAATATGCATGTTTTATACCTATAGACCTTCCTCTTGAGTCACTCTATCTATAAAAAAAAATCCGTTGCGTAGTTCTAAAGATAGGGACAGACAGCGGAAAGCGACTTTGTTTTATACTATGTAGTGATAGTGAAGACTGCACCTAAGACGTATCTACATAGATATAAATTATAGAGTGCAACGAATATAATACGAATAACGATGTAAACAGAAACGGATGGTGTGACTCAGTAGTGTGAAGAAGTAAGTATGTAATATTTGCTAAGTAGACCCAATTACAGCACACAAATTATCACATCCACATCTTACTAACAGACTGTTGGTTGAGTGAGATACAAAAGGCTCAATTGCTCAAGGCACATTATTGAGCCTTTACTGGCAGTTCGTCTGTCCTGTTTGTTATGAATTGTAAGATTAAAGATTGTAAAAAGATTCTGTCGTTTAAGTCACAGCTTTTTAATACTAATAGAAGCTTTTATGTACCAAGAGAGAGACAGCTTTTAAGTACCTATCTAAGCATCAAAAGAAGCAACAGGTCACTTGACACAGCCAAAATAAAATGCTAAAAAATAAAAAAACTACTTGAATGTTTAAAAATTATAACAAATCTGTTATACTTAATACCTACGAGTATTAACAGAAACGAGCTAACTCTATTTCTGTGCTCTGTATCGTTATCTGTCTTTTGTTTTATGCAAATACAAGACGAGATGCGCCGACGCATAGTTCACGGCGTCATCCGTCATTTACCTCCACGTCCCCTAATTTTTCAATTAGGAAAACATACTAAAACACAAACGAATACTAAAAATCAACAAGAAAAGTCATTAAGTACCCTTATTAGCAACGAGCTAACTGTATCTCTATGCTTTGTATTGTATCTTTAACACAACCGTGTATTGTTTTATGTAAATATAAGACAAGATGCGCCAGCGCATATAGTTCACGTGTCATGCGTCATTTATCTCTTGACCGCGGTCCGCGGCGGACGCAGGTTATCAAAAATGAAGTCTGTGTTGTTTTGCTTCGTTATCTGTGCGTTCGTGACCAAGATCTGTGGAAATAACTGGACGCCATTCCGATCTGTGCTTTATTCGGAGCTGATAGAATGTGAGTTGTTTAGTTTGTTTGGAACCGTAATAAACTTGTTTATATTTAGGTAGTTAAAGCAAAGTTGCACCATCTTACTTTAATTTTAACAGACGTCAAAAATCTGTCAAATTCCATACAGCACCGGTTATTGTTATAGTTACTGTTAAAGTAAGTTGGTGCAACTCAGCCTGATAGATTTATGTCAAAACTTCCTCATAATACGTTTTGATTATTTGAATTTATTTGCGATAGGTATAATAAAAAGGTGGGATTTTTTAATCTAAGATTACATGGTAAATAATGACAATGTGTGGAGTAAAATCTTATTATAAAAGTTTGTTTTCCTAACCACCAAATAACACAGTGATATTTTAAAGATAACCTTGTGTTGATAAAAACTGCATTAATGTTGATAAATGTGCCTTACGCAGTTTATTTATGAGATCTGAAATTAGTTAAACATTGGGTTAATTTCCAGTAGTTTTTATACTTAATTTTCAAACTTAGGGTAGGGTTATAAGTTTGAATTGATTCAGCAATGTTTTGGATTTTCACGTATTGCCAAACTAAAAACAATCTGTTTCAATATTCTTGCCTTTGAAGTAAACAAACAATTTAGTACCTAACTAAAGCATAAAGAAGTCGATATTTAATCTTCTTATTACAACTACCTATTATGTTTGTTTGTCAAGTTCGTCAATTCTGTTTATGGTCATAATAATATCTATGTATGTACTTGTGTAGATGAGTCACAGGTACTTTACCTTTACTAGTTGAACCTTGTGGTTGGTTCGTTCAATGTCAAGGTAATCTTGTAGTATCACGAGAGATGTGGTCATGATGCCAACCTTAAGTTTAAATGCGCAGTTAAAACAATGGGCAATAACTTCGAAAATGTGTTTACCTAAGTTTCTTGAAGTAGGAATGAAATTAAAGGTCAATTTCAAATTATTAACATAAGGCTCTAAAATCTATGCATTATGTGCCATGTACTTATGCATTAAAAAAACAAGTAATTATTGTGTTATCAAGTGTGTCCTCTATGGCACTTATACATGAACGGTATGAATGCTTAGTTAAGTCCCATATTTGATGGAACATACTAAACCTTTGTGTTTAAAATAATAAAGGCGATCTTAAGATGTTCGCGTTATTTATGGCTACAAAAAAGTTTATTTTAAACTTGACCTCAGATGTAAACGGAACCTCAGAAAGTTCGTTAACCCGCAAGAGTCGGAGTTGATGTTATACCATCGAGTTATTAAAATAACTCTACATTCTGTCTTGTGTAATTGATCTTAATTTTCTTGACTGCCCAGTGGCATGGTGGATCGGTAAATTCTATCAGGGCAATGAGTCTCAGGTTCGATTTCCGATCAGGGCAATTTAGAATACGGTCTTTGGGTCGTGTCTAGCTGTGACGTGATTGGAGGCAGCTATAAAGCTAAAAATGTCTGGTACCTGGTACCGTTATACAAGGATGTTACCACT